TCAGAGTTTGACTCGTCCATAAATTAAACACCGGATTAGATAAAGGAATTGATCAAACGCTTATACATTATAGTGAAATAATTATAAAAATAAAACTTTTATGTTACAATGTATGAATATTAATTATATAATCACGTGAAGCAAAGCCAGATTTTCTATAAGCTTCGAAAATTTTCAGTACAATAGTGATAACACAGTTTTAACTGACCAAGGTCTTATAATGACTAAACAACGATGGACAATAACAATTAGACTACACAAACGTTTTCAACGCATTATCTATTTAGATTTAAATGAGCACATACAATTATCATTCATTTATTTTAATAATAAATTGAATACAAATAGATGAACTATTCGCTATTCTATAAAAAAATAAAGCTTATTTTCATCTAGTACTTTGGATAATATCAGTGATGCATACAAATGTTGTTTAATATCTTTTGAATATCAAAGTTAAAATAGAAGAAATATCACATTGAAATACGATGGAAGATTATAGATAGAATCGCAAGAACAATTTTACAAAATTATATTTTTAAATAATAATTTGTATTCAATTTACTAGAATTTTATAATTTTATTCTCAATGCAAGTGGAAATTAGCAGTTGCAGTCTTGAACTTGAACATTCACGTAATCATTATGTTACTGCGCTCGTTAAAGATTGTATCAAGCATCAATAATTTTAGATATGTAAAATTATTGATCGCATCTCAAAAGCTTTTCGAGCACTTTGCAAGTCAATCATGTGTTAAAAGGAAATGTCAATTTGTCAAAATTAGCTAAGAATTATATATTTAATTACGCAGTGAATAAACACAATTTTTCTAATATATCTTAATTAACTGATCTTTTGTTAGCATAGGCAATTTCTTGAGATATATTTCGTTATTTTATGTAAACTGAGAAAGTATGTTAAATTCAATATACTGAAGAAATAAATACATAAATGCATATCTCTGCTATTGTCACATAATTATTGCATTATTTGGAAAAAAATCTATTTCAGATTTATTTATAACGATACTTTCTGTTATAGTATTAATATAATAATATCCATTTTAAAATTAACTGTAAAAGCAATTTTAATTACAAATTATGCGAATTATAAATGAGCTTCAAATATAGCATAAAATTAAGATTTATATTTTTTGCGTCTCGGAGGAATTGTCGAATTATATTTTAAGTAATAGGATATTGTTATTAATAAATGATATATTCATAAATACACATAAGTTGTTGAATTAATTTAGATCTTTCCAAGATTAAATATCGAAAATGATAATTTATCGATCTTAAATCATAATTTATATAGAAACTTTTGTCAATTTTAGTGTATTAATCGAAGAATAAAGAAAATACGCAAAATTATAACGCTCCAATATAAATATAAAACATCAAAATAAATATAATATCTATATTTCCATTTTATAATTTAATGTAATTGTGATATGTAATTTTTTTTTATAATGTAAATGAGATAAGATTTACAAAACGGGCGTGGCACAGTAGACCGCATTGGTCTAGAGATCCCGGGTTCGATTCCCGGCAGAATCAAAATATTTTCATACATTTGTGTCTCCTCTCGACAATTTGGTAAATTACGAGAGTATTCTTGCTCACAGAATTTCCTTAAAAGTTTGGAACCGGTGTTAAAATGTAAGTCCTATATGCCTGTGCATCATTTATGTGCGCATCATAGGCATATGTGAATAAAGTAGAACAGGTTTTAAGCCTATATGGAAGAGGAAGAAGAAGAAGAGAGATTTGTACAAATATACATTATTCCTGTAGTAGATTTATAAAAGATCAGTAATGACAAAGATAATTGATCATTTTATTTTGTAAAGCAATAAAAAAATATGTAAATTAAAATTATATTTATCAACAGAATACAAGCAGAGTCTTGCGTACTTTGGTATAATAAATTTTCGTAAAAAACAGATTTCAAGACTTGTTCGAGAGGAAATTATATTTTCGCTAATATTAAATATCATTAATTACATTAATGTTATCCTGATATCGCAAATATCTGATATTCAGACTTTTACATTTTCTCGTATGTTTCCTCATAACCACACGTCGTGCATGTATGTGTATATGTATCATCCTCTTCATTATATGTGTCCTTCCCAAACTCGTGAACGTGCGACGCTTTCGTCGTCTTATCGTACAATGAACTTCTCACTTGCATTCGTAGCTCTTTAATCTTCATTGCCATGTAAAAAAAGGATTCTTAAAATATGACTATACTAAAATTATTTAATATTATACATACAAATTAAAATACCTTTTTATTAAATTTCTTGATCTTAGCTCCCTCTCGCTTTAAATCGCGGGCTTCTTTCTCCTTCAATAGATTTTCTTCCGAACCCCAAACTTCCAAAGCTCTCTGCTCTATTTGTAGATGCAAATATAATTTCATTTCGCCCCAATTCGCATTGTGAGGATTTTTTCGCACGATATATTTGAGCGGGGGTTCCCGTAGATCGAGATCGCAGTCTTTCAATAAATATTCTTGTTTAGCTTCAGTTTTAGTGATTAAAGAATGTTTTCCCTCTTTATCTCTGAAATATGTAACATTATAACATTGGTAACTTTTAATTGGTGGGACATGAGAAGAAAAGAAACAAATATAATGTGAATGCTATTCTCTTTAACGCGTTATACCTGCACTTATCACAGACAACTAAATTGAATGTGCGCAGAATAAATGAATCTCCGAATTTCTGTTGACACTCCTCACATTCGTTTAATGTACCGATAACAGGATCTGGCTCAGTTACAATTTTCAACTGAGAAGGTAAAAATATATTGTTATATAATAATATCACATATATAATTGTACATATCTATATTTATTTTGTATACCATTTGCTGTTCTAATTCATCATTTTCTTCTATCAAAAAACCTCCACCACTGTCGATAACACGCTGTCCTTGAACTTTTAACATTCTTCCTTTTGTAGAGTCACCATTTTCTCTATAACAATATAGAGAATATTCTTTCATCAATTGAGAATATGTTGTAATCAAACTTTCAAAAAAAAAAGAAATTTAAAATGTTCAAAAAATTGATTATTGAAAGATAATTTTATCATATTATAGGCAAACAGATTTAACATACCTTGTATATGGATGAGTTACAATTTTAGACTTTTTTAATAAGAGTGCTTTCTGACGATTCCTTTCAGCTCTTTCTTTGAGCTGCTTTTCTATTTCCATGCTGTCTCCATTCTTGTTGGAATTATTTTCCATACTTATGGTCGCTACACTAGCCATTTCTTAATCAAATATTAAATTCGCATGCATTTGCACTTTGTTTCTAAAAAAGAATCATAAAAATGAGCAATTGTTTGACAGTTATCTTTTAGAAAATTATAAATATTATAAATGTAATTGAAGATATATGTTCTAGTGTTCTTTACATCTCCTAACACTTTACATCTCCTAACACACACATTTTCTGTACCTGAAAAGCGAGACAGATGTACGTACAGCGGATGTTGGAAAAGAAAGAGAGAAACTCAAGTGTACCAAGTGCAAGCAGCATAACACTGACTTTTTCTTTGTTCTGTCACCTGCGCGAACAAACCTATACTACACAAAGGTTAAGTTATATCACTACACGTGTTGCGTGCATGCATGTGTTAGGTAGAGATGCATTCGTTTATCGTTTGATAATAATATTTTTTTGAAGAACCTTTTTTTGAAGACCTTTTCATCTACGTTGGCAACTATGAGCTTCTCTGTATACGAGTCATATGTAGCATTGTGTAACAACGAACGTGTGATAATACATGACATTAAAAATGGCACTGAAAACGTGATAGTTTTGCCTAATTTAGAATCAGAGAAGAAAATCGACGTGCACAATAATGTAGATGTTGAGGCTTACCATATGATAACATCTCTGATTTTCTCGGAGGATGGAAGATATTTTGCAATATGCACGAATCGTAAACAACTATGTCTGTATGAGACTAAGAACTCGAGACTCCTCTCGAATCGGATGCTTGTTAGAGCTGCAAGCAGAGTTAGATTCTCATCGAACAACGATATCGTGATAGCCGACAAGGCCGGAGATGCTTACTTATTCTCCACCAGCTGTCCAATGGAGACTGGTACCTTGATCCTGGGACATTTGTCCATGCTCCTCGACATATGCATCACGCAGGATATGAAGTACGTCCTGACGACTGACCGAGATGAGAAAATAAGAGTGTCTATGTTTCCAAACTGTTACAATATTGTATCTTACTGCTTGGGGCATGCAAAATTTGTGACCAATGTCTCAGAATTGCCTCATCAGAAAAGTATCCTAATATCATCTGGTGGTGATGGAGTATTTAAGTTATGGGATTATAAGCGTGGAAGCGAGCTGATATCTGTAAACTTTTGCGATAAAGTATCGAAATGTGACATAGAGAAATTTAATCAAGATCTTCGTGACTATCATTATGATGAATCTATAGATATATTGCCGGTCAAGCATCTCAGAGTGTCTTATCTTAGTAAAATAGAATCTTTAATTATAATAAGTTTTTATAATAGTAAGTTACTGTTAGTTTATAAGATCAGTGGTAACAATAAGACACAGCTAAAAGCAGATTATTTGGAATCCATAACTGTGGAAGCTGAACCTATGGAATGTCTTTTACATAACCAAGATTTATGGGTATTAACAGATGCAGGGTTGCAAGCATACAAATTTGAAAATGATAGATTCGTAGTTCATAATACTTTAAATTCTGCAATCAAATGTCTCAATATGTCTTGGGAAATTTTAAAAAATACTGTTGTTAAACGAAATTTGTATTTTCCAGTTTTATATAAGAGAAAATATGATAATGCACAAGAATATCAAGAAAGAAAGAAAATTAGACTTGCAAGCAATATAGAATAGATTATAATATCATTCTTACAAATATTATAAATACAATGATTGTGTTCAATATTTCATAAAATGTACAAATAAACAATTTGCAATTCAAAGTTGAACTCGGATAAATAAAAGTCTATATTTTATTCTATACATCAATGATATTAGAATCAATTGATATTATCAATTGTATCATGTAATTCGTTAATGTTAATGCTGAATAAACTTTTATAGAAATAATTTCATTGTAGAAAATAAAAGTAATTATACCAAGACAATAATGAATGATCCAAATTTGGATCATAGAAAAATTAATGGATATCTAATGTTATTTTTAAAATACAAAATAATAACACAGTATTATGTCGAATTATACAGGTTTATAATCCAGTTTAGATTCGAGTTTCTTATTGTCAGAAACTTTTCTGACAGCTTTCATAAAATCTTCTTGTATTACATATTCTCTTTCTAATCGTATTGCAAACAGACCGGCCTCTGTGCATACATTTCTTAAATCAGCTCCGTTGAATCCGTCCGAAAGTTTAACTACTGCCTCATAATCTATATTTACACATAAATATTATTAGTATGACATTGTGAAATATTTGAAAAATATGATATTGAGTGAACAAATTTCTTACCGATTTCACCATGTTTAGCAATTGGCAAGGCATGTATCTTTAGAATCTCTAAACGTGCTTGTTCATTAGGTAACGGTATTTCGATCTTTCTATCCAATCTACCTGGTCGTAGTAATGCGGGATCCAAGGTATCAGGCCTATTTGTAGCCATTATCATTTTAACTTGGCCCAAAGAATCAAATCCATCCATCTGATTCAATAATTCCATTAAAGTTCTCTGAATTTCTCGATCAGCGCTTGTTCCTTCCGAAA